AAATATAATTATTTATTTAAAATATGATTCCAAATCGCGACATTCTTATGTCTCGATTTGGAATCATATTTTTAAATAAATATATATATATATATATATATATAGAGAGAGAGAGAGAGAGAGAGGGGGGCACCTCCACAAAATCACTAAAAACTCAGCATACTATGTTGAAAACATGCTCCAAATGTAATGAAAACATATTTTTATCTGTATTATTAAGAGGAAGGATCAAAGTATTTTTTGAATATTTAATTACATTTTTTACTCCTTTTTAGAATGTTCAAAATTTAGCAGTTTTACTAACTTTTAGCCTAGCAAATTTTAGCCTCTTTTTTGTGGTGACAGACACATTAATTTGGAAATTCTTGCAAAAATCAAACAATTGTCAGATTTTAATGAAATTTTCAGAACTTATTCACAAATGAATGAAATTATTTTTGAATTTTTTTTTATTAGAAAATCTTAGTAAAAATAATTTTTTTACATGTGTTTCACCCCCTCATTTATTTTATAAAAACTTGAGAAATTCAACATGATAATTTTTAGTGACTATATTAGTTAAAAGTCAAATTCTTTGAAGAATTTAAATCACCAAATTCTTTTTTCAAAATTGGACCCAGTCTTACTGAAAATCTGTTCTGAATTGAAAAATAAAAAATGCAATGAAGACATTATTCAATTAAAGAAGCTTTTAATTGCTTTTAGGAATAATATATATTAAAGACAATATTGTCTGAAGAAAAAAAAATTTTTCAATGAGAAAATGAAATTTTACAAGATTTGTTTTCATTTGTTTACAATTTTAAATTGAATAATTCATAAAGTTTTTAAATCTTTTAAAATTCAGTTTCAATAAGATAACTCTTAGGAAATATTGTTATTAAGTAAAACTATATTTACTAATCATATATTGTAAAGCTTATTAAATTCTGACAATCCAAATATTTTTAAAAGAATTTTTTGTATGTGTATATATGTGCGGAATTTCTAAGTATGGATGTTGAAACCTAACATTATCATTAAAAGGTCACATGTTTTAAGGATTGTCATCCATGACGGAAAAGTAAAATAAACTTTATCATCTGTTCCACCATACTTAACTATGAACACATTCAATGGTCATTTGGCTGTCAATAAATCAATTAACACATCAGAAAAACAAGACCCTGTGGTTAAGAAATGCTTGTATACACTTTATGCTATAAGCAAGTAATATTTGTTTCAAATCAGATTAATTTAACTTTAAATTTGCTAATTTTCCTCAAATAACATTTCAGAAATATATATTTTATTTTTGCAAGATTTTTAAACCAAGGATTAACTTTTATTTACAAATGTGTCAAAATAGCCTATTTTACTGAAAAAAAAAATCAATTCTGATCAATATAATTTCTGTTTGAAATACACTAGAGTATTTTCTACACTGGAAATAGTAAATTTTAAATCCTTTAGCTTTCAATTAAAGGTAAGATGAAAGTTTCAAGAAAGCCTTTTGATTTTTAAACCTTACTTATAACAAATTAGTGGAAGTGTGTGTGTGTATATATATATATATATATATATATATATATATATAAGATGGTGAATTTCACAACAAATATTGGGCAAGTTTATGCCTGAGGCTATGCACAATATATGTACAAAAGATTTATGCCAGTGTCTACCAATTTCCTCCCTTTTCTCCCCTCTGCAGAGGATGCAATCAGCTTATTCTAATGCTCACTGGCAGGGTAAATATATATAGGAATCATGTATTAGTAATGGCAATATTAGCCATTTCCTTATATGGAAACATTCAGCATTCATTGATCAAGCAGATTGTCAATTGAAATTTATAAAATCTTTCTATTAAAACCATTTTTCAGGAAAACAGATTTCTCCTCAAGTCCACTGTCATTGTTGTTTTTAATATGGCAGTCTTCCTTGCCATTACTAATACAGGACTCTCAGTTGGTAGAAACTATCTTCTGTTCTGGATTTAATCACTGTGTTTCTAGCAGGTGCAGTGACATTCATGGCGGACTTGTTGAGGATGCTAACTTGGGGGGTTGGCAGATGTTCTGGCTTTGCTAGACCCATCGGATTTCAGTATCATACTTTACATCCTCTGTTAAAACATTACCCAGATATTTAAATTACTGTACTTGTTTTATTTTGGTATCTCCAATTTGGAATTTGTATTTTGGGCTGTTCGTTTTGCTGACAACCATGCATTCCATCTTCTTACAATTGACGTTTTGTCCTCTGTTCTCTTTCCCTTTATGTTATGGGAACTTACCCATAATAATAATGGACTATTCTTGACATTATAAATACTGCACATTCCCATAATACTTTATTACCTTCTGTAGGAGTTCCTGTAGTTTCCTTTCTATGTCTGTTGCCTTATGTTGTTAAGATTGTGGACACCAATAATGAATCCTGGTAGAACTTCTAATTCTCTCAGAATTGTCTCACTGTATAGGTTGAATAAGTCCAGTGAGAAAACATATCCTTGTATTACACCTCTTTCTATTTTCATATACTTAGTGAATTCATTTTCTATCTGTATGTAGGCAGTTTGCTCCAAGTATAAGTTTTGGTAGAGTAATGGATTGCAGATTGGACTGAGGAATCAGCGAGCAGAGTTTGAATTCCAGTCAAGTTCATTACATTCACTTACATGCTAATACTCTTGGGGAAGGCATGAATCCAATTCTTCTCCCCCCCACACACACACCTGCCAGCTATAGCTAATAGTAGGACAGACGGGGATCTATAACTTTGTGTGATAACTAGTCTAGAAATGGTGACTTGATAAAATTAACCACCTCCTAGCAGGCGTGGGCCACTCAATGGGGGGGATGCATGGCCCCACGAATATGCACACTGGCTGAAATTCTTCAGGCATGTGAGTTATGCAGTCTGCTGTAGGTATAGAAAGTGTTTACTTATAATAAGTTCTGGATTATTCTAATATCCTTCCCAAATATGTCATGGTTATCTAGCAGTACCAATAATTCTTTGTGATGTAGTTTATCAAAGGCTTTTGCATAATCTATAAAACATAGGTATACATCCTTTACCATTTGTATTGGAAATAGAAATAAAATAAAAAAAAAAAGAGTCAACAATTTAGTACTTGTAACTCATTGTAAAACTATACTATTAGAAAATAATAGTTTATAAAACCCTGGAAACAATTTAAGGACAATGCTTATTAACCAACACAGTATTTTTATTAACCAGCATACTACCTATAAATAAAGATGTGTGGATAGCACAATAGTTATCAGCATGGAAAGTAAAACTGCTGAGCTGTGTTCAAATTCCATCTTCATATATTAGATTCACTTCACACAATTGACCTTGGGAAAGACACAAATCCATTTCTTTCCCCTCCAACTATGGATTAAATTGCAGGGTAGACTGGACTCTCTAAACTTGTGTGGCAACCAGGCTAGGAGAAGAAGGGCTCTGAATTCAAAAGGCAATGGGAAACCACCCCACTCTCTTTCCCAAAAAGTGCTGGCAATTCACTCAAAATGAAGGAAAGGAATCTGGAAAATCATGATTGCATACGGCCTAAAGGAACATTGCATTTTAAAAAATTTTGTTAAAATGACAGGATTTATTTACATCTACACATTTGAGAGACTTAGCGTTCTATAACAAACTGGCTCAGAAGGCAGTTTCCTCTACAGAAGGTTACTTAGGTTCAATCCTTGCAGGAGACCATTTTTACCTCAATAAGATTCTCAAATGCACAGGCTGCTAGATGTAATTAACATTATTTAAAAAAAAAACAACAACAGATCATCTACTTAAACATGTGTATCCACTAAAATAATGTTTAAAGTAATGTGTGTGTGTGTGGACTCTCTCGTCATTGATGGCAAATGAGGACTCAGTAAAATAAAGAGGAGCTCAACTTTTATGTCTCCTGAGGCCTGCAGGTGTTTTGCAAACTTTTAGACATATGGAACATGTGGTTGACCCATTACACTCAAGTGGTTGGGGACCAATTGCCACATGTTATTGTTTTTTTGTTTTGTTTTTAACATTAACATTTTCTACAAAGTCAAATACATAACTATAAGCAAGATGAATCTTCACTTAGAAACATCATAACAAAATACACAACTCCAGTCAATATAAAAAAGAAAAAAATTAAATTATTTATTTATTATATAGGTAATGCATACCTTATGTAGGAAGATTGAGAGATTTGCCATGAAATGGTATTAGTGAAACTATAATAAGTTATTTTTGGTAATTGTTTCTTTCATATATGGCATGTTATGATACTATCATTGATGGAATTCATTAAATTTTCAAAACATAGTATTAAAAAAAAACATTTACTTCTGTTTACTCTCAAGTTGTGATCTAAATGCTATGATGGTTACCACTTTCAGGGAAGAAAATGAATTTATTTGAATAACAAAGAAATTTAATTATAAACGCCATCAACAAAACAATCATTTATTTATAAAGAGCCCAAAAAAACAGACCGTAAATGAATAACAAAATAGTTATTTGCAATGCCTAATAAGTCATGAGGGGTGTAATAACTGGGGTAAGAGAAAATATTTCTTGTGAATTCTTAGTTTTGGAGCAGTCAAAACATGTTGGTACTTTTAGAGTGTTTTGTTTTAACACATAAGTTGAAAAGATCAGCATGAATTGTAAAAAAAAAAAATATTCAAATTGCAAGGGTGGATATAAATAAGTGGATATAGATTGAAAAACATAATGTGCAGGCAGGCAAAAGGTTACTAACATGGAAAGTTGAATCAATAAGATGAGGTGAAAAAAAAAAGATTCATTTCACACTAATGCCCTTGGAGAAGGCAAGAATCGCTTCTGTTTCCTAGCTATGAGTTAAAAAAAAAAAAAAAAAAAAGAACAAAAAATGTTCTTGATCTTTATGATGAACTAAAAAGCAACCAATAATAAGCCTTTTCAATATTACTTAATATTTCTTCAGTTTTTTTTTTTTTTAGAAAATAGAACTTTACAATAAATAAATGAACTAAACTAAAACAGAAAGGGGAACAGGTAAAAAAAAAAAAGGAAAAGAAATAACAATGAAAGAAAAAGTGAAAGAGAAAAGCGGAAAGTAAAGATAAAATAGTAAACAAAAAAGAAAAGGAAAGTGTAAAAAAAAGAAAGGGAAAGAAATACAATAGAAAAAGGGAAGAATGGGATGAAGAAAAAGGAAAAGAAAGAAAAGAAAAAAGGAAGAAAATAAAATAGTAAAGGAAATAAAAAATTAAAAAGTCAATGAAAAAGAATAAGAAGGTAAAAGGAAAAAAAGAAGAAAAGTGGGAAAATATAAAAAAAAGAAGAAAAGTAGAAAAAAAAGAAGAAAAGTAGAAAAAAAAGAAGAAAAGTAGAAAAAAAAAGAAGAAAAGTAGAAAAAAAAAAAGAAGAAAAGTAGAAAAAAAAAAAAGTAAAGGAAAAAAGAGAGAAAAAAATGTGAATTTAATTGATACCCCTTTAAAATAAAACACCACAACTCTGGCAATGTGTTTTTGTTTTGTTTTTTAATTGAGATTTATTTTCAAAGAATTATCTGCTTCAACTTGAAACCAGCTGTGAAAGAATGATGACACGTTTCTACATGTATTGTTGGGTGAGGTGCTAAAGAAGACTCCTCAACTCAACATCTACCCAAGTTTTGAGCCACGAAAATGAACAATATCTCTTTTTAGAAGATAGTTGCTGTTAGTGTTTTACCCATACACAGCGGATCATAGAATATTCTTAAATATCTTTAATGAAATTTCACTTGCAATGTGAAGTTTGTGAATTTAAAGAAGCAAATTAAAACTGTAACATCATTGTTGATACAACCAAACAATGAATTGAATACAGACAATTTTTTTTTTTTTTTTTTTTTACGTGGCTCCGATGGTCTTTGTTTTAAATTTTATTTCAACTTGACTTGACCATTTCAATTTGGTTATTAATTTCTCAGGACTTTCTAAACGTTCTTAAATGAACAATGACAGTTTTTAAGGTTTATCGTTCAAGATAACAATAAAATTTAATGAAAACTGAAAAGAAACAAACTAAACAATTAGCTTTTTTTTCTTTTCTATTTTTTTTTAGTAAAAAAACAAAAAACAAAATATATATCGAGTTTTGGGGCGGCGACTATGAATTATTGAAAAAAAAAAAAAAAAGAAATAGGACAATGAACAGAAATAATGTTTTAATTTTAATTCTATTTTTATAAAATTCCGGTACTGGGGCAGAGCTTTAAATTATACATCTTTTTTAACATGGAAAACATGCGAATTGGTATTCCTATGGCTCACACTGCTCAATGACGATGAATGTTATGTTTTTAGGGAAAAAATAAGCTATTATGATGACTGCATCACCCAATAAAAGCAAGAAAATAAATAGAAATGTAACGAAACAAATAACAAAGACAAAAAATGAAAACACTAAAAAGCAGATATGACTATGCCTGGATTCGAACCACCTCACTGCATCTCTAAACTAAAAAGAAGTCAGAATGAATGAATTAATCAAGCAATAAGTAACAACAAAATCAATTATCTCTTAACGCGATAAATCATACAAACTGAAGATATTATTTAAAAAAATAAAGTTTAAATGATTCTTGACGGCTGAATTAGACTAACTTTCACTAATAAGTTTAATCAGGTAAAAAAAAACTCACTCGGATTGATAGTGACACCTGCCTTGACAATGATGATAAATGAACCATGCCTTTCCTTACTACAATTTTTTTCTTTTTTTAGTTACCCGGCTTCTTTTTTTTTTTTTTTATTTACCTTTTTCTTTTATTACAACACTTACTTTAAAAATAAAAAGACAAGAAGAGCATTTACTATTTTACTTTGTTGCTTTCTTTAACTTTAATAATCTGAAAATGACTTTTTTTAAAAATATAAAAAAAAAGCTGGAAAAAAGGCAACGGTTCTTTTTTCCACACACAAAAAAAAATCAAACGCTCGGATGTATAAAACATACGATGAAAACATGTAAAAAGATATTGTTATTAAAATAATAATAAATATATAATTATTAACTAATAATATGAAATATGTATAGCAATAAATAAATATTTAATAAATGTGTTTTTAATTATGAAAATAACACTCTAAGCAAGAAGATCTACTCTTCAGAAGAAAAAGAAAAGCTCTTCTGGTATATTATCGTTCATATTGATTTTGTTTTTCTTTTAATTATAATAATAATATCCATAATAAATAAGAAACGATAAAATTTTAATTTCAAAATCTATACAATTAGATTTATGCATTTTTAATTGCATTCGTTCACAATAATTTCTTTTTATCTGTAGTCTCTGGGGTTTGATTGGGTTTTAGTCAATGAATGGCTTGACGAAGACGATAATAAAGTTAAAAAATACTATTTTTAATTATTATTAAAGACCTTAGTTTCTTAAGAATAAGATAATAATAAACTTACGATAAAGAATAAAAAAAAAAACAAATAATTCTCTTTATTCAACTTAAATGTCTAAAAAAAAAAAAAAACAACAGCGTGTGTCACTTTTAAAATTAGAAACGAGATTTCGACTTTCCGAGTACAAAAATCAAATATTGAACCATTTCTTACCGAAGTTGAGGAAGAAAATAAATAAAAAGAGCAACAAAGACGTAGAGATCTTGTTTTATATATTATTTATCTTTGTTCATTATTTTTTTTTTTTGTGTGTATATATATTATATATATATATTTTATATATTATATATATATATAACCTTTATCATGACCCGAAAATTTTAAAATAAAATAAACTTACCTTGGCCAAAATCTGCCACCTTTGCATTGCCACGCCGTTAGGACCGGCAGATTTTTTAAATTTGGCAATTTTATTATTATTCATCTTCTCAACAACAACCCGTGGGTCATTCGTGGATTTGTAGCTATCCCCGTTTCTCTGTTGTTCGTGCAGGTCCGGTTTTTTGGAGGAAGAGAGATGTGGTTCTATATCATCAGTATCAACAACAACTACCTGGGAGCCCGACTCCGATTTCTTCAGATCATCGCTAGTAGTATTTATCAGCACCGTGTCCATCGTCGTCGTGATATAAAATGTGTAATGCTGTTGATGTCGAAGGCAGTAATGATGACCACAAAAGCTGTATAGAAAAAAGAAGAATTAATTGGCAAACTAGTGAGAGATCCTTATAAATCATCCCTCCAACAACGGCCTTTGCTCGTCACCTCCAATGGGTGCGTAAACGTTAAAAACACATATGCGCGTGGCGGGGGTCTGCTAAATAATTCTGCACAGGACGTGTTGTTGTTATTAGAATTATAGTATTATTAGCAGTGATTGTGTTATTATTATCTGTATTTACTATATAGGTACATTTTTTTTTTTTTTTTTTTTTTTTTTGCTGGGATAGGGGAGGGAGAAGAAAAGTCTTCATGCGTGTGTACACATTTACTACAGTGTACGTACGTCGCTAAGTAAGAGTGACGGTAGGAGTTTTACTGTGATTGAATGATTGTTTTACTGCTACTACGAGATTCCTCCAAACGTTATTCTTTTCTTCTTTCTTTCGCTTACATTTCCCTCGCTTCACTTTTGTTGCTGTCTTGGTCTTAAGATTTCCTTCTTTCTTGAATTTTTACTTCTTTCATTACTTTTTTGACTTGATATAATTTATTTCTGTCTATTTTTATTTTTTACCTTATTTTCTTTTTTTTGTTTCACACAATTTCATAAATTTAAACCTAAGCCAGTCTCTATTTTCTTAAAGTCTATCTTTAAGTCTATTCATGTCTATCTTTCTATCTATCTCAGTCAATATACCAGTCTATTTCTATCTCAGTCTATTCATAGCTATCTATCTCAGTCTATTTATAATACCAGTTTATTCATAGCCATATCTATCTATCTATCTATCTATCTATCTCAGTCTACTTTATCTATCTATCAGTCTACTTTATCTCTCTATCTCAGCCTCTATTTATACCTATTGGTCTATTCATATCTATCTATTGCTATCAGTCTATTCATATCTGCCTGTCTATCTCAGTCTATTCATTATCGGTCTATATGTGTCTCTTTAATGAGTTGTGACAACTACAGATCAAATATGGATCAGAATCTGACAGAATGATAAAACAAAGAACAAAGGAAATGCTTATCAATCAAACATGTTTCACTTTTATTAAAGCTTTGCATAAAATTATTATACACTTACTTGTATAAAGCAATGTTTATATTTTTTCAGTTAGGCTTGAAATCCGTTAATTTCTTAAAACTTTGAATAGACATGTCATCTCCCCTTGAATTTGGAACTCCACAAATTACATTAATAACATTTGTTTAACAAGTTGAATGCATGTGAAACATGATTAACCAATGAAAATCAAACAAATAAAAATACCAGAATTTCTTTCTTCTTTTTCTCCATATCTCATTCTCTGAGAAAGCTTTAATAAAAGTGAAACATATTAGATTGGTAAATGTTTCCAACCTGTCCTAATATATATATATATATATTTATTATATATATCTATATATATATATCATATAATATATATATTTATACAAACTTTATATATATATATATATACATATAAAATATATAGGATAAAATATATATATATATATATATATATATATATATATACATATCTATATAAATATATTTATTTTGAGTTAAGTATATAATAAAGTTTACAGTCAAAAGCTTTGGGGTCTGGTTCTCACACACCAAAACAACTGCCATGTCTAAATCTTTTGTTTTGAGTTAAGTTTAAAGAAAGTTACATTTGTCAGGTTCATTCGTATACGTTTGTGGTTAGTCTGTCTTCAACATTTAACATGGGTAATAGTTAGTTAACTGAGAAGTGTTCCATTTAACAATGGCAGGATATTCATATTGTGAGCAGGCAGATAGGATTTTTACATATGGCCATGTGAATGGTAATGGATGCACGGCTGTATCAGATTGCATTTCCAGATCAAAGGTGGCTGAGTTATTCAACCTTTGCTGCTGTTCATTGTTGCATTGCTGAGACAGGATCCATGGCACCACAAACTATGGATCAAGGAAGTCCGAGATTCACACATATCTCTGACCATGAAAAACACATTCTACAGGCTGTTGAAGATGATCCAGGTATCTACACACATCAAGTGGCCCTAGCATGTGGTACATCTCATAGCAGCTCCTGTATCCATATCATTTGTAACATGTGCAGGATCTTTCGCCTTTTGATCCTTCACCACAGGAGAACTTCTGCCAATGGTTTACTGCACAAACTGTCGACCCATTGTTTATTGCTTCAGTCTTGTTTATAGATGAGGCAACATTTGGAAGAGATGAAATAACAAATTTATACAATCGATATTTGGGGGTGGATTGGAATCCCCATGGTACAATAGAGGATAGACACCAGAGTCAGTTTATGATTAATGTGTGGGCTGTAATTGTAGGTGACTGTTTGCAATGTTTTCCCAGCATGTCTTACAGGAGCTGTCTACAAGGACTTTATTTCAAACACACTTCAAGACCTGCTAGAGGATGTACCTTTGCTAATATGAAGACACATGGTTCATGCATGATGGGACTCTAGCACATTTTAGTCATATTGTTCGCAATGCATTGGCTGACATCTGCCTTGAAAGATGAATAGGTAGGTGAGGACTGGTTCAATGGCCTTCACATTCTCCCGACCTCAATCAATAGATAGGGCAACCTAAAACAATTGGTTTCTGCACAGGCATTAATAATGCAGAGACGCTTCATCGACATGTCATGGGGTTTTTGCCAAACTATTCAACACCATGTTGGAGTATTTGAAAGAGAGCCTGCCTGTCAGGGATCTGAAAGGTGCATGCATGTATAGAGGCAAGCGGAAGACATTTTGAACATTTGTTATGAGTTACTGCGTTGAGGTACAGATGTTTTTAATGGACATTTTACCTTGTTTTGGTGTCAGGAACCACTCCTAAAGTTTGTAAAAGTATTTTTGACACACCCTGTATATTGCAGTCTATTCATATCTATCTATTTTTTTTAATCATTTAACCCCAAGCAAGGTGATAAAGCCACTAAGATGCAAGGAGTTACTTAGTGTGAAAAAATTTGAGAAAAAACTAAGGAGAGAGAACAATAAAAGAAAAGGAATTAAGATGATAGAAGATAATGATTGATATTGTGTTTAAATTGTTTAAGATCAAAATTGACCGAGAAGAAAGAAACTGGGAAAAAGTTTCACAGGCAAGAAGTGCAAGAGAAGAAACTGTTAGCATAGAACTTACAGTTACAGCTAGCCATTTCAACTGTAAAATGATGAAACCTTATCGGCAATCTAGTATTGCACTTTAATTCACAAAGTCTAGGTACCAAAGAGGAAAGCTCATCAGAACAATTACCATGAAAATATTTACAGAAAAGGCATAGGAAAGTTGTGCTGCAGTGGTGGAAAATTGACTGAAGCTGAGATGCCAGGTCATGACCAATAGCATTGCAGATTCTTCATATTTTATTAAGAATTTCTTAAATGCATAGCAGAGGTACAAAATCACATGTGCAAGCAATATTCAGTGCATGGACAAATGGTAGACTTATAAATGTTTAAGATAATTTTTCTAGCCAGAATCTATCTATAACGACACAGTGTACCAACTTTCCTAACAGCAGACCTATCGATTCAAAATACTCATTCCACTTCATGTCAGTGGAAGACATTAGACCAAGAAGGTACAATGAGTTATTCTTCTGGAGATTAGCATCAGCCATGCTAATGGACTGCAAAGAAGGTTCTCTAAGATGATTAAAAGAGAGCAATTTCATCTTGGGGGCATTAAGATTAAGAAGCCATTTCTTGCCCCAGTTAACAACTGATATATGGTAATTTGGGAGATCACCTACCAAATTGATATTATCAACCCTATCAAATTTACCATTAAGACAGGATTAAATAGTTGTATCATCAACATAGATACTGAGTCAAGAACTGATGAAGATTGTTGATAAAGACTGGCTGTTCAAGATAACGATCATTTCATGATTTGATAAGAAAGACTGAATCAAATAAAAATTTGTCCAGAAATACCATAACTCTTTAATTTGTGAAGATCAGTATGCCAAAACCTGTCAAACAACTTTGAGATATCTAAAGCAACAGCCAAAACTGCACTATTCTTATCTAAAGCTTGATAGACTCTTTCAGTTAAAACTATTAACACACCAACAGTTGACCGAGAGAATTTTGAATGAAATACCTCCAGAGGTGGGGTGCTTAACTAAATTTGAAATGAAGAGAAGACTAATAGGGCACTAGAAGAATCTGACAGTTTATCTGAGTTCTTAAAAACAAGAAATACAGACAAGTATTTCCAACAAGCAGGAAAACAAGAAGCTTTGAACTTTAGTATCACCAAGTTTCTGGCAAAATTTAATGCAATATCTCTGCTAGATGAATTCAGTCATCTTGTTTAAAAACCCAAATCTGATGCATTACATGTCTGAACTCCAGATGTAATAGACGGGAATTGATCATCACAAAAATTTTCATGCATGTATAGGAAGGGTGGCATCACCTCCCACCCAAAGGGTTTTCCCCAGGTGGCATTAATTTTGGTGACAAAAAATAAAATCAGATACTTTTTGAATGTGTCTTATAGTTCAGTGTTGTTTAGATTATCAATTCCACTCATTCAGATATTTATTTTAATTAAAGTCAGCTTTCCATTAAAATTGTTAGCTACATCAATCAAAGTTATTTTAATAGAGTTTTAATATAATCTTAAAGCTATTTTAATGGGTTTAATCACTATTTAATGTTATTGAGTTTTAAATGTGTACAGAAGTAACCAACAAAAAAAAACTCTTCAAACATGTACCAAATGTCTAGTTTTCAGAAAAAGAATGCTGTGAAGTTTTGTCCATGCCCATTAATTTCCACATTGTTTATGTATAGCCTGGCATATCATTATTACTTGATTGAGCAAGGAGTTTGATTCTTACATGCTTCCCCATACTTGCAGTCTTGTGCCTAAATCAAGATATGCATTGCATATTTGTGTAAACATACAATGTCACTCTTAACATAGCTTTCCACCAACTGGCTAATTGCATTCTGATCTTCAATCTTGTCCGTGTTCTCTGAAAGC